GAGCAGAGGAGGTATATTTGTCTTTGGTGATCTCTCCCTGTTTCCACTTTTTATGTGCTCCCCTTTTGTCCCTTAGGCTGCCCTGGATTTCTCTGGTCAGCCAGGGAAGCCTCCTGGCCCCTTTCCCCCTTTTGCCTCGCTCGGGGATCGTCTTGCTTTGTGCCCGAAGGATCATTTCCTTAAGGCACAGCCACCCTTCTTGGGCTCCCATCACTTCAAAACTCCTACTCTGCAGTGCGTCCTTGACTAATCGCCTGAGTTCATTCAGGCGATTAGTCCTTGACTAATCGCCTGAAAGTAGAATGTTTCATGATAGCCATTTGCTTCAGGTTAAATTTATTTTACTCTTCTAGTTTCATTCTGGTGGCCCCTCTACCCAGTGGGGGTGAGCACTGCTTAGGGCTCACACCTTCAAGTTTTTTTTTTCCATGTTAGTGCTCAAAGCTGGGTATCCTCCTTTCCATCTCATCCCCCTTCCCCCTGTACCTCCTTGCAGTGATTCTGGTCCCAGCAGGGTTGCCAACCTGAGATTTTTTTTTAAACCAACAAACTGCAAGTTTTTTACTGGTATATGTTCTATATAATGTAAATGTAAAACATCTACCAGGCCCTGCCTGTTGCCAGGTCTCAGTTAGAAGGGCTGGGTTCAAATTTAGGGGTTTAACATCAAGCACAGTAAAAAAAATAAAAGTAAAATAAAAATAATAAAAATAAAAATAAAGTTATTGGGTTAGCAACTCTTGACTGCAGCAATAATTTAACACTGTCCCCACTTCTACCCCCCATAAGGGATCCCCTACCTAACTACCCACACCTTAATACCCCCAAAACTGTGCCATGCTACCCCACACCCCACCCCCATCCCAGCACAGACCCCTGAAGAAGTGTACCTGCAACCGTGAAGTATTACAGGCAGTCTGGGGCACAGCAGCAGCAGCATATGGCTGAAACACCACTTTGGAGGATGCTGCACTCCTTATCAGACACCAGGTGGTGTTGCTGTGTTCTATTTGTCATGTCAGGGCTTCAAATCAAGCTGCAGCTGCTTAGTGTTTTTACTGATGGCTAAAATATTTTTTTTTTTGTTACAGACTTTACTGACAGCCATTTTTAGCCTGATTTTTTACTGACAGCAACCTTGGGTCCTGGTCCCATTCTGGCAGCAGGGAGGGCAGAGCAGTGTACCTAGTCAGGAATCTCTAGACCCGAGAGGGTTATCTGAAGTGCATGGTTTGAAAGTTTAGAAGGCTGACTGCAATGCAGGGGGTGGGGGGACTTCTGAACAATATGTCCTGCTCCTGTGGAAAGAGCAGCAGTTACTGCAATCTTGCCATATGGCAAAACATGAAAGAGGAATGACTCATAAATGCCAAGAAAATTAACAGATTATTAATTAGAACACATCTCCCTCCTCCACACACAAGGAAAACCCCTTCATTTTTAACATCTGGTGTTAGCTATCTTCACATGCCTCCCCTAAACTACGTGTAAATTCACCTCCAACTTTAAAGGAGGCTTTCATCTTAGAAAGAAGTTCTATAAACTTTTGAAGCCTAAAGTTTAAAACTGGATTTTTAGGACAGGGAGAAGAGTTTTCCAAACAAGAATCAGGCTTAAAACAAAACTGATTTACCCTTACTGGATTCTGTAGGTTTCTCTCATCAGTTTAACAGATTGAAAAAAATATTAGGTGATCACTCATGTGCTCTTTTTCTCTTACAACACATCTTCCTACTATTAGGACAGCATATACCTCACTTTATTATTTTTGTCAAATTATTAATTCAGCAGTAAAGTCAAAGAGACTGATGTTCAGAGAAGCTTGCAATTTCCATTCATGATGAAGCTGAAAGAAAAATGCTGAGTTATGAGGAAAAACAGGGCTCTTAATTCCTATGTGCAGCTGTAACAGCAGAGGAGACAAAAAAAATAAAAGAGAGAACTATGTAAAGAACTTGTGTAAATTCTCTGCCTTTAAGTTAGTTCAGTGTTAAGACAACCTAGTACTTAGCCATTGTTTATGCATCTACAAACAGTATTGGGAAGATAATCTTCCCCATTAGGGGCCAGACCCTGACTTCCCTAGTTACTCCCACAGTTAAATAGACGGGTTATTGACACCTTGAATTTTCAATATTCTTCACTTTGTCTCTTTCCATCTACAGTCATCAGTCACCCCTCACTGCCCACAGCACTGTCATGTGTTAGAATCCAATACTCACGTTCAGCACAAGCACGCAGTTTCAGGGGGGTTACTCATGGAGTAGGGTGCTACTTATATTTACTCAAATCTAAGAAGAGGTGTTCCCCGCCACCATTTAACAGGGGGTAAGGGGAAGTCCCTTGTCTTAGGATTTGAATACAATGTGGGGAAGGCGGGGGGCAGGCAACTGCTGCTGCAATTCCAGCTCCAGCCACAACCTGGGAGCAAAGCTGCAGCTGCAACTGCTGCCTGCCCCTGCCACCTCTGCCCCCAACTCCTCCTCCCACTACAGTGTTTGCCCCTCCCATTTACCCTTGCTCTAGATACAGCACAGCTGATCCCGCTCTGGCCAAAGGCATAGAGCACATCTGCTCTGCTCCCAGCCTAGTCCAACCCAGTCACAGTGGATGTGGCAGTGGCAACTCTAGCCAGGGTGTGGAGCTGGAGCCAAAACCTGGGCTGAAGCTGCTGCCACCCCCACCACTATTACAGGCAGGCTGGGGCCAGAACAAACATGTGCTCTGTGCCCCAGGTTGGAGTACAGCCAGAGCAAGGGCAAGCAGTAGAGGGAGGGGAGGAGCCAGATGTGAGAACATGGGATCAAGCTGCCCAACTACCCTACTGCCTACCCCTCTGCTGTCCCTTTCCATGCTTCAGTGTTGGAAGCAGGGGACTAAATTTAAAGACAATTCCTCCCCCCTCACTAATTAGATTTTATATATGAAAAACAAACAAATTTATAAAATTTTCCACGTACAGAATACAAGTATTAGGTGACGGTAGTCTTAAATTTAGTCACCTTGGATTCAGATAAATATGGTAAATGGGTAGAAGAATCCAGCATTAGAACAAAGATAGCAGACCTCCTCTCTCCCCCCCAGCTCAAAGTATAATTATTTTGACATTCACTTACCTTTGCATCTACCTCGATGTGCTACACTCAGGCTTGATTCCCTGCATTTGGCTCGCTGGTAGTCGCACATTGACTCATAAGTTCTGCCATCCGAGGCGCAGAGGGGTTTAGCCTGGGACCTGGAGCAGTGGAGGTTACACTGAGGATCTCTGTCACGGTCGCTTATTAAAAACTGAAGGAGGTGAGAGGGGAAGGAAGAAGGGGAGGAAGACAAAAATACTTGGTTTGGTTTCTTAAGTCAACCCAGGAATATTTTGAAGACAACAGCGATATACAACAGGTTGGGTTTTTTTTAATTTACTGACTACCATGTCAACATTGACCAATGGGAGATTTGACTTATACACTTCATTTTAAAGTCAAACCAATTAAAGGTCCCACCATTTTGTTCTCTTGAACTGAATGGCACTACTCAGTCAGCACAGTGTGCACATAGAGGTATAAAGCAAACCATGAAACCAACACAGTACTTGCTCTACTGAAGCAGAACTCTGGACTAGAACAACCACAGCTCTGACTGCAGGAGTATCCTGCTCCAGATGTGTCCAACAAAGTGGTGCAAAGAATCCTGCAGTAAAGTTGACTGATCTGTCCTCAGAAAACTCTTCTTCTAGTAGTTTGATTTCTGTGAGTCACATGGGTGTCTATCTACTTTCCAAAAGGAAGTTTTTTATTTTATTATAAAATAAAATTAGCTATAACATCTCTGGATGCTCTCACAATCTTTATAGGTAGTCAGCTCTTGGGATTTTAAGTTCTCTACTTCAGTGACAATCCGTGAAGCTGACAATTACACCCCGTTATTTACATAGTTCAGTTACATGGTGTGTGAACACCATACTTCCCTTGGTCAGTTTTAGTTTCCTTGAATGGCCCCATATTCTTGACATTTGAGATAGCCCCCTCCTGCCCCCCACACACCTATGTTTGTTACCCTACATACTTCTAATGCTCCCTTGCAAAAATTTCCAGACCATACAAAAGCCCTATGATCTGGGCAAAATGGCTCTACAGATCCAGCCTGTGGGCCACATGCTTGATATCCCTGTTTTAAGGTAACCACCCCAATTTTTTCCCCACTTGCATCCCCAAGATTTGTTATGCCCCTAATTATTCTCCTTTTTCTTCTGGTCCCGCTAAATCCCTTTTAGATATGTGGTGTCCCACAGTATGTACAGCATTCCAGAAGATGCTAAAACAATGGCTTACATAACAATGTGATATTTCCCACATTACAGCCATCCTATTCCTTGTGAACCTTAACATTTGGTCCCCTTTTTAAAACGTAGCTGCCCATTCAGCAGAGGTCTTCACTGAACTGCTTACAACTATCCCGGGCTCTTTCCTCCAAGCTGATAATATTAATGGAACCTCAACTGCCAGTCCCCTGTCATAACCACTAGCTTAGATGTACACTAGGTAGTTATGGCCAAGTATGTATAGTCTCTTTTTGCTTTTTCAGTGACTCTCTCCCAGCTCCCATTCCACATTGCAGCGTTGTAGATAGTGAGGCCTATATTACAACACAAAATCTGAACATCATCTTGCAGCTAAATTCCACTTGGGGTTCCTGAAAAACTAATTTCTTGTGGGACCAGGTTGAGCTTTCCTCCTTTCCCATCTTAAATTTAAACTACCTCTTCCCTTCAAGACCCCTTACCTCTACTGCTAACCACTCACCTCCTGAACCACTCAAGCCTGGGAATCAAAGTTCCTTTCTTAGCAACAGCACCCCAGCTTTCTGCCAAAGCACTTATGAGCTCAGCAGTTCAGAGCTGGCAACTGGGCACTGACTGACACTCTTCTTGCATATACAAAGGTACAGCTCTCCAAGTGTGTTGATAGCTGGATGCCTTACAGGGAAGTGTGAGTCATCACCATAATCACCTTGGTGTTACAGCTCTCTACAAAGCTGCCTGTTTTATGCTTCAAGGGGAAAAAAGCTATTAAAAAAAGGCACTGCCTGGAGTTATTTTGCGTTAGTTTTTACCACTCCAAAAAAGTTCACCTCTGAAATATATCTTGCCATTTTGAAACAACCACAAAGTAATATTCATATAACCTTATCACATTTTTCTGAATACTGTTAAGTCATTTTTAGACATTACTGGAAACCTTGAAAACACAACAGTTGGCAAAAGCAAGCAAAATCTACACTTACTTCAGTCTGACTGAGGCAAGTTTTGAAGAGTTTATCCAGAGACTTGCCAAAGTGCCTGGTGGCAACACAACAAAAAATTATTAAAATGTTTTGGGGTTTGTTTTTTGTTTGTTTTTTTTTTAAATAATCCTATAACCTGGAATGACCATCCCACCTGGAGAAATTGAGAAGTTTTGATCTTAAAAGGTAGTTTTGACTGTGTTTAAATATGGCCCAAACCTTTTTACAATGCTGTAATGTAAGACCAGATTTATCTGCATGTCAGAGACCCGAGTGCAATAGATAAGTTTGTGTTTCTCTTGATTGGTATCGTTTTATCTCTACTCACTGGGTCGCTAAATTTTCCAAAGCCAAAACAGTCTGCTATGCTAAACAGGTCCAGAAATAAGAACTATATAGGACTAGAGGGATCGACACACCTATTAATTGTAACGTCAGAGGCCCTGAATGGGGAACTTTTAACCTTTTATATAAAAATGTTTTTAAAAAGAGTTTCAGGGCTGCAGGTTAAAGCAAGTGTAATAAAGCACTAAATTTCAAAAAAGGAAGCACCATCACAACTCATTTTGAGGCATGAGATTCTGTAAGTTTGAAAACCCTGCATGTTAGAAACTGAGCTGTAGATACTGAATACCTCCAGAACACAAACTAAAAAATGATGGTGTTAGTGTCCATCACCAAAGGATATTGCTGCTGACTTGCAGAACAAACCCCACCCCAGTTTGTATCATAAGAACTTGCTGAAACTTACAGCAGCTCTTACTGAAGACAGTGCTAAACACGCAGGTTTCTGCCCACTACAAAACCTATCTGCACAGAGCTGGGCTTAGCGTTGGATGGTTTAACTCAGAGCTAAAAATGAAGAGCTTGAAGATTAGGAAACAGCCCAGTTGGGTGCCTCCTATAAAGCAAAAGGGAGGAACAGTTTGACAATGATTAATAGTGAGACTCGAGACAACACGCCAACTGTCCCAAAGCAGTCTATAAAATTCTTACCTGCCAGAATTCAGCCAAATGTCACTTTACAAAATGAAATCTTTTCAACATTTTTTTAATTAGAGTAGTGCCCACACAGCATGCTAGGTACTTTCAAGGCATCCAAGATACCACTCCTACCTTGCCAAGGAGCTTATAGTTTAAATAATTATACAAGATGGTGCTTGTTTTGTTCAAAAGTGGATTACATTGAAAAGTCTGCATTAATTAACCAAGAACCGATAATCACATTCACATATAAAGCCTGTCTGATCTGTGTTGGAAGGATTTTCAATTTGATCAAACAGCATAACCAGAAGGATTGGATGGCCTTGAAGAGGTCACTACTAAAGAACTGTTGATTCTTTCAGCTATCACATACCACCTCTAATCCTGTCCAAATGATGAACAGAGTCCTGGAAGTAGATGCCTGCAGATACATCTTTGGCATTGCTGACTCTTCACATTATGAAAGTCTTTACCACAGCCAATAATGGAAGAGATCATGCCTGGATATTTATCAAGGTGCCTATCATCTTAGCCAGACTCAATAGGTCAATAGGCTCAATAGCTCAATATCCTTTATATCCCCACTATAGGATTGTGTATATCTCATGGTATGTTTGCTATCACTTTGCATTTTAAATTTCAGCATTGTCATTAAGCTGTTATTCCCTTTCTCAGCAGTCTCTACAAAAAAGCTAAGAAGGGAATGAGCCATTGATGCTGAAGTAGGCTTCTGGCCACATGCGATGTAGCAGATATATTGAGCATACTGCTCAACAATAGTCACTGGTAAGTTTGGGGGGAAATTTTGAAAATTTTTCAGCCATTTCTTCTCCAAATGATGGAAACATATCACTTGTCTCAAGAGAGCACTTCATGAAGCTTAACATTACTGGTTTTAAGTTATCCCCATCCCAGAATATATTGAACAAGATACACAGCTGTTATAGGATTCCTGAAGACTGACAGGAGAAGATCACTTGCCATTATTGGTTTAACTGACAGAGCAGAGTACTTGACTCGCTCTGTATCTGGGAAGGCCGCAGAACGTGTTTGGTGTGGCTGTGCGAAACAGCACCATCCTGCTTCAACTTCTGTTTCGATGGAACAGTGTTTCATTTAGTTTCAAAAGCACTGTTCCGCTTTGTTTCGTCGAAACTCTTCGGCTGTTTCAATGCTGTTTTGTCGTTATAATGGGGAATCATCAAATGCGGCAGGCAGGCAGATCGGGGGCTTGCTTCACCCCCGGGGAGGGCTGCAGGGGCTGTGCCAGAGTCCTCCCGGGGCTATGGGCCCCTGATCTGCCTGTCAGATAAACCCACGCTGGGCTCAGCTTGCACCCAGCACCAGAAAGATCACTGCAGCTGGCCTCCTGTCATCCAGCTGGCAGACTGAGGGCCGCAACCCTGGGAGGACTCCGGCACAGCCTCTGCAGCTGGGGGTGTGGGCGGGCCCCATATCTGCCTGCCGGATGACTAGAGGCTGGTTCTGCCACCTGGGGCCAGCAGCAGCCAGGGCCATCCCTGGGGAAGGGGAGGAATTAAATTGGGGCGACTGCACCGGGCCCCGTGCTCTGGGGGGCCCGGAGCCAGGCAGAGTGCCAGTGGCGACTCTGCACCACCGGTACTGCCGCTGGCTTCACGTCTGGCTGCTCACTACTCCGCCTGCTGCTGCCAACGCTGGCAGTGGCTTCTTAACATCCAGGGCGCAGGCAGATCTCCACATGAACTGATTTGCCCCAGGCCCCACACCCTGCCAGAGCTGACCCAAGGAAGGTGTGGGGCCAGGGGTAAATCAGTTTGTGCAGGGACTGCCCCCACGCTGATCCCGCATGCCCTGGGAAAGAATACCAAAGAGGGTCCTAATAAGGACTGTGCTAGGTATTGACTGTACACAAGGGCTTGCAAACCTGTATGTTCGTAGATTGATAGAAGGGTAGTACTTTCCAAGTCTTAATCCAGGAAACAGAGGGTATGTATGATGTTAAATCATGTTTTCATTTTAAATTCTCTCCCTACTTTTATAACAAG